CCCGAATTTGCTCCACCCCGCACGGCGGCAGACGCACGTGCTGCCAACAACAACAAGACCACCACCACCACCACCACCACCACCACCACCACCACCAACAACAACAACTACGGCTACGGCTACGGCTACGGCTACGGCTACGGCTACGGCTACGGCTACCGGTACTGCTACTGCTACTACTACCTCGACTGTACCTTCAGACACCTCTACTACGTCTGTTGCGAGTTCCATTAATTCTGCTTCTACTGCACCCCTGCTACTACCTCTACTTCTACTACCACCCCACAAACAGCAGTAGAAGCAGCAGCAAGGGCAGCATGCCTCAGCATGCGGCGGCAGCAGCAGCAGAATCAGCACTACCACGACCACGACCACCACCGCAACCGCCGCCGCCGCCCCCACCACCGCCACCGCCACCGACACCACAGCGCCACCACCAACACGACCGACACCGACAACAACCGCTCCTGCTCCTGCCCCCTGCCCTGCTGCTGCTGAGGCGGCTGCTGCCGCTGCTGCTACTGCTACATGCTGCTGTTAGTGACGGAGGACACTAAGGACCCCTGCGCAAACACCACCAGCACCTTTACCACCACCAAGACGAGGACAACCCACCACCGCTACGAAAGGCAGAAGCACGAGCTCGTGTGGTTCGCATGATGCTCAACGCCCCCGGGTGTGGGCTCGTGTAATGGTTTCTCCGAGGCAGCTTCAGGACTGCTTCCGGTGGATCGAGTGCCGTCGAGATGGTGCCACACACCACATCCTGCCACTTGTACTGCCAAGCATGCTGCGTTGGTTTGTGTTTTGCTTTTGTGGCTTGCGCCCCAAGCTGCTTGAAGCAGTATCGTGGTTCCATGATGTCTTGGACCCAATTTACTCTTGACATCTCGAGTGTGGGACACCCCGAAGCTTCACTCCCAAAATATCGAATACTTCAGAAGCCGGAAGTTCAACCGAGGTTCCTCGACGCAGATGAGCTTGCTCAGATTCAGGAGGTGCCGAGAGAACCAGCTGGTCATGGTCATTCGTTGTATTTGTGCAGTTGGAGTACGTGTACAGGCCTGCCGGCCGACACAGGTACGTTTAACACTACCAAAGCGAAGCATTTCAGACCTCCAGTGTGGGACCCCCCAGAAGATACTCGTACTCGGAAAAAGCAGTGATCATGACAATCAGCACAATCACGCTAGGTATCGGCTCATGCAACAGTGGCAGTGATAAGGTGGTGGTCATGATGATGGCGGTGAATGCGGCGGTCATCTGGTGATGATGGCGATAATGATGGCTTTGTCATCGTCATCCTCATGCTCATCTGAATCAATGTATCTTCATCGTCATCACTAGCACCAGCTTCACCGCCAGTAATAGCATCAGCATTATGATAACAATTGGCATCACGGTTGGTCATGTGATTGTAATTAGGCAAGTAGCAAAACCAGGAGCATAGTCGTGTAGATCATCATCATCATCATCATCATCATCATCATCACTGTCATTATCACCAGCTGCAGCAACATACAAGAAAGTTCAACGTACAAGCATGCCTGGAACCGAACCTTCAGATCAGCTGGATGTACCAGCATGCCATCTGCATGGTCCGGGGCTTCGACTACACAATGGAGAAGGCGCTTTCTCAGGGAGCTGGCTTGATCTCGGGACCTGAGGGTTTAAGCAAGTTCGGGTCGGCTGTAATTGTAGTTTAGGCCACAGCGTTGCACAGACGAGGCTGTTGCGCAAAGAGTGCATTCGCGCGGTTGCATTAGCGTTCGAGGCTTTGGCGTAGGCTGCTGCGGCATTGCGTTTGTTTTTTCAGGGAGCCAGAAATCATGTCAGTAG